AGAAGAAGGAGGAGATGCTCCAGTGGCCGGAGTACAGATTCTCCTGCAACCCTCAGTGAAGGCTGTGATGAAGCAGGCTGTCACCCTGCAGCCCGTGGGGGTCCTTGGTGTAGCAGATGAATGCCCAAGGTAGGCTGTGACCCCATGGGAACCCTACACTGGAAGAGGCTCCTGGCAGGACCTGTGGTGCTGTGGAGAGAGGAGCCCACACTGGAGCAAGTTTGGTGGCAGGACCTGTGACCCACAGGGGACTCACGCTGGAGCAGCCTGTTCCTGAAGGACTGCATCCTGTGGGAGGGGCCCATGATGGAGCAGGGGAAGAGTGTGAAGAGTCCTCCCTCTGAGAAGGAAGTAGCAGCCGAGACATAGTGTCTAAAAAACCATATGCATAAGAAAGAGCTCCACAGTATTCTTCAGGAGACCAAATTCAGGCCCAAATGGAAACATAGGTGCCCTGATTTCCCCCCATTTTTCACTATGGTTTAGTAAATGCAACTTTACAATGGAACTAAGGTAAGGCATACACAAAGGCTGCACTGGGATGGTGGCAATTCCGCCTCTGTGCCACCAGTAGCAGCTTTCTTGCTGCTTTTCTTCTTCAGGATTAGTGCTCAACTGTTGGTATGATCCGATGATTTAAGAAACAGAAAACTGATCTCTCTAAAAAGTTCTAAAATTACATTCTGCAGGCCTAGTTTTTCCAAGAGGCTCAACATGGTGTCAGACAAGCCCAAGGGAGATAAGGGGACCCTGTGTTCAGAGATTAGGGAAGAAGCATACTGAGGTTGCCTGTATTCGCAGCATACTGCAATAAAGTCAGGCTCTTTTAATTCTGAAGTGTTATAACCACACTATTACATATTCTGAAGTGCTGAGGTGTGTAGTACTTGCTTTATCCAGCACAGTATACTTGGTCAAGAAATATTTCTTTTCCTAGAGGAAGACTTGTCTGATATAAAACTTAGTCTGAATTCCACTGGAAAACTTGGTGGTTGAATGCAAAAACTAAAACAACATAAACCAGTAAACCGTGAATTAACCTAAGTAAAACAACTAAATAAAGAAATGGTCCCAGACTGCTGAGACGTGAACATTTTGATTGCAAACCACTGTGAGAAAAAGAGTGGGGAATTTTAACCAAACCAAAACCCTACTGAAATTAAGAAAAATAGATAGCTCCTGAGACAGTGCTTGTTCTATTTGGGGAAAAAAATATGCTGAAATGTCAACCAAAAAGGAAGAAACTGTCAGATAATCAGGGTCCATTGCCTCTGTGCTTTATAAGACAGAGGAAGTCCTTTCCCAAAGCCAGCCAGGTAACCCTAAACTTGTGCTTGTGAATGGATGTGTGGACACAATCCTCACACTGGTACAATGCATTTATGTTCTGATAGTAGCAAGTTTGTAAATGAAAATGCAAAAAAAATATTGTCTTGCATTTCTTCCTCAATATGAAAAAAAAACACATGTAATTGAGCTTTCCTTTTAAGTGCAGTTTGTGTTCCCATATGTACCTTGTTTCCTCTTCATTTTAAGAAAGCTGTATCATGTGAGCAGAGGGACCTAGATTGTATTTAGCCTGCAGAGTATCATACATCTTTCCCTTTGGTTCATGATTTAAGCACAAGTGAAATAACAGTATTATCTTTTAAGTACTGTTGGCAGAGGAGTCCACTGAAATGAGATTAGTTTATTCTTCAGGGATATAGCTTCAAATTTTCTATATTAGTTATACTCTCTTCTGAAGATTTTCTTAGCAGCTGTAATAACTTTGGTCTTTTTTTCAATAAAAGAAGAAAGGACTATTCCTAAGTGTTTGTAAAGCTGGGTAAAGGGACTTTGGAGTTCAGAAACTGCTCTGTAGCTGACATTCAAAAGTAGACTTTAAGGGTGTAATATCTTCATTGAGTAAACAGTCTCTGCCGTTAGATCAGTACGGTTAGAATAATGAAAACCACAAGTCATAGTTTTTAAATATTCTGCTCAATTTGTGCCTGTTGGAATAGAAAAACTTAGAGCATGCATCTCAACTCCTGAGGTGCACCACCACCACTCACTTAGACTTGGGTAAAGTCGGACATCTACAGGTATAGCTTAGTGATTATTCCTTTGGCAGCCTTGTGGCTTACACCTTTGCAGGGTCACCTTTAAATTAGACAAATTCCAAAGCTGGGACCGGGCAAGTTCAATGGGGCAAAGTGGAGGCAAGACTGGGGACGGGGAGTGAAGTGATATAATCTGGTAGAGCAGTGAGAAGAAATGCTTGTCAAACTACAGTATGGACCTGTCATCCTAAACCTTCTTTATAGTGAGTGGACACTGTGGGAGGTGATCCAGCTGGTTAAGGAATAGAGGAGTTGCCTTTTAAAGGTAACTCTGCCTGGTTAGTAAAGGATAATGTTAAAAAGGGGTAGGGAAAATGTCTAAACTTAAGGGGGAAAGAGGTATTTATTTTCCTGTCTAGGAAAAAACCCTTCCTTGTGATTTATTCACATCTACTCAGATAAAAGTCTGAAGAAGAAACATAGTCTGGGTTGGGAAGTTTTGTTCTGTGGTGTTAATTAAAACAGATCAGCAACATCTTCTTGCACTAAAAGTTTACACTGGAAACAAGATTATAATCTACTTGTGTCAGCTGCCACTGTTTGGAGGAGCATGGTGGAAGTGAGATTATTGTAATTCTGGGCTGTTAAAAGAAAGATGAGAAGGTAAAGATATTGGCAAATACCTCAAATTGTGTTTATGAAATCACGTGTGATAAATAATAGATACAAGAGGTAATTTCAGAAGTACCCAAAAACTTTCTTTGCATTATTGATGCTTATTAGCATGTCAGGCTGAGCCTCAGAAAATTCATCCTAAAGATTTCTGTGGTTCAGCTGCATGAGGTCCAACACAAAAAGTGAAATATTCAGCAAATATTTTTCCCCTCAAACTGCTGACTGCAGGTTGTTGATAGCAGGTTTGATTTGGTGTTGTGGACATCTACAAAGATAGATAACAGCACACACAGCAAAAAAAGTTCACATATCCCTTCCCTCTTCTCATATATATTCTTATCTTACCCCACTGATTCTAAAATATTATCTAACCTAATGTATTGCCTCCAAAATGCTAAAATAGTCTGTATTTGAGAGACTATATTCTTATTAAATACAAGATTTTTCCATGTGTTTACTAAAAAAGAAAAAACCCACTGAAGTTTCCGTGACATCTAATGGTTTGGAGGGACTCATCCCTCACCCTCCCCATCCCTTTTTTTACTGATCATTTATCTTATTAGGGAAAAACAACATATGTGATTATTTCTGGTTTTTATGCAGCAGTGGAAATCATCCAGTCTCTCCCCCTGGACTGTCTTCCCAAGGAGCCACCAATTACTGAGTCTGAGTTTTAACTGCCCCTCATAAATTAATGCTATTAAAATAATTTTAAAATTATGTCATTTCAATCCAAAGTATAGCTTTATTGCATTTGATTGTTAATAATTGTATCAAAATCATTATTTTCTCCTAAATGTCTTAATGGGCTCTTATAATACCTTCATCCAGCTGCACTTAATCACTCAATGTATCTCCTTTGCATGTCTTCAACTCACATCTGCTGACTCGATGGACTCTTGCCGTGTCAGTGAAGAGCCTTGAGACGAGTGATGAGACTCTGGCCGGATTCTGCCTCTCTTAGTGACACACAACTGTCAGCTCAAAGCTTTCTCTGCAGAATCTGCCTGACTAATGACAATAGAAAGGCCAGAAAAAAGCACAGCTGGGGCTGCCATTCACAGGCTGGGATGGAAGCCCTGAGGGTAGAAAACTCATCTTTTGGCTGAGCATATTTGACATGAGAGATATTAGGAGAAAATCAGCCTGTATTCCCATTATAGCTTTTCAGAGTTAAACTTCACCTTGATCAATTGTGTCTGAATTTCCTTCTCAGGATATTTTTCTCAAAATTATTCTTCACTTCCTTAGTCAAAGCAGAATCTACTCTTCTCTTGAATGTACTAACCAAAGATATATCAATTTGTTATGGAAACTATGTGTCAAGTTTAAGATATTTCTAATCAGAAAGGAATCTAAGTCTTTTTTAGCTTTTTAGTCTCAAATGTCACATGTAATTGTAAAAAGATGCTATAGTGCTTGCCAGTGCCTGTGACTGTGTGCATATCTCTGTGTGTACATAAATCAATTTATTATTATGGAGGGGTTTTTCCACTTTCATACATTTTTCTGTGGTTTTTTTTTCAATTTATCCTATTTTCATGCA